ACACAATGCTTGCCAGTCAAAGCGTGGAGTAAAAGAAACTGTATTCCCCTATGTGTTCTCTTTCCATAACATATAGGAAAAACACAAAGCTGTCAACAACATAGCAAGACATGATTATTCATTTTCTTGAAAAGGCTGATGCATAAAACTTGTGTTTACTTTTCAAAAGCCAGAAAAATGGTTGCATCTCAAAAGCCAGAAAAAATAAAATAAAAAATGGTTTACTTTTCAAGAAAGACAAGAAGGCAAAAACACAAGTTTTATGTGATTGCAAACTTAAGTGATTCAACATCAAGAGTAAAGTACAAGAACTCAGGTATGAAACACCATCAAACATGATTTGATCACAAGAGCCAAATTTCGTGGAAGGACTAATCTCTGCGAAGTTCCTCGTATTCACGACGAATGCCATCAGCATTCAAAATTACGATTTCGACCTTGTCTCCCTGTATAATGTGCATAAGAAAGAAGCTATAAGATACAAAAAAAACTTTCATCTGTTAAGCTATATAGATAAGTGTTTCTTTTTCACTTAACGAAACTTTCCCTATTATATCCTACAAATCTTTCTTAGGCATCATTTATCTGGTGTAGAAACTTACAGTGTATATATCTCTTTCTGTTGCTGATGCAAAACAAGTCTTCACCAAATCAATAGCTTCAGCTTCAGAAAGTGGTGTAACAGCATCCTGCAGAAAACAACAATCATAGACAAACACATAAACTTATATAAAACTAAAAAATGTATGAAAGCTCGATCCAAACCTTTGCTGGCAACAGAAGAGGGCTAGGGGATTTAAGTTGGTTATCCAAAAAGGGAGTAATAAGTGTAGCACCAGAACCTTGAGCACTGTATCCAACTCTTTCATAAGATCCAACAGCATCATATGTGAACACACAACCTTTTCCTTCAATATCAAGTCCACCTAAAACATTGAATGCGTAGTATGGAAAGAAGCGTTTGTAGTAAAGAGTGTTTGATAAAAGCTGCGCCATTGCAGGACAACTCATCTGTTTGTTGTGCTGATGCTGATAGATCTGTTGAAGATAAAAAACATATAAAAGTGATGTTTCTTTTTTGACTTAATGAAATAAAATTTATTCATTCAGCACTTTATCCAGACAAAGTACTTACAGAGTGTCTAGAAGCCAGGACCTTCTGCAATGCTTTCACATCGGCTTGAAATCCTGAAGAAGCCATGAAGCTTTTGTCCGCTCTGAAAATAAAGGATCAAACAATGATGATTTTCTTTGAGAAAGGAGTTGATTGTGTAAATCTCTGATAACCCTAAAGCCCTAACGTGGATCAAACTACCACGAATTAACAATTAATCAACACAGGGATTTGGATATTCAGCATACCAGTTGAAACGAAATTCAAATGACAAGTACATATAAGCTTATTAGTTGATTAAACACAAAATTGGAACGTAAATGGTCGTACAATTTACAGATTTTGGAGTACTCTCGGGTGAGAATACTGTAGCCAGTGGACATTCGAGTATCGGCTGCAATCACACAGTAATCCGCACCGGCAATCGCGACACAAGTTCTGCACATTTTCATAGATGCATACCAAAAAGGGATCATTAGACATTGAGAAATTGATACATTTATGGAGAGAAAGGGAGATAATTTAGGGCATAATGAGGATACCCTCCATTGTTGTCGTAGGGAGACCAGTTTGCTTGTTCCTTCGGCATGATTATGATGATCGGATTTCAGATCAAAGTCGCTGCGTTTACGTGAATATGTGCGTTGTGGGAGAAGAATGAAGTATGCTTCTTTTTCTTGAAACAGAAACTTTTTTTTTTTTTTTTAGCATTTGTGTTCTGTGACTGTTGTCTTTTCTATCAAGAAAACGAAAAAACTAGTTATTTATTTATTTATTTCAAATGTCGATAAAGTTTACCGTTTAATTTTAAATATTTATTTTGAATAAAAAAAATCATGATTATCTAATTTTATAAGATAATCTGTCATTTTCTGTTTAAAAAAAATAAATATTTTTTAAAAATATAAAATATTTGTAACTTTTTTTTTTCAAAAAATAAAAGTTGGAATAAAACGTAAACAGAACCAAAATATTAAGACTTTATTGAAGATTTTAAATGTTTTAAAAACCGGTTTTTTAAGTTGAACCTGTATGGTGACTGGTTCCAGAGTCTATAAAAAATTCTAATTATTGTGTATACTACATTAAAATTTCTGACATTATTATTATTGCTTAATAAAATCAATATCTATGAAAAGGGGAGTGTTCAACCGTTCGATCTCGATTCACATAAATACAAGTTGTAAATCAATCAAAATAAATTAAAAAACATATAACCATAAGTTAGTGGCGGAACTAGCATAGAGCTAGGGGTAGCCCGTGCTACCCGTTGGATTTGTTCAAGAACTACAATTTTTTTGGCTGATGCTATACGGGATGATACTCCTTTATAATGTATGATGCTACTTCAAATATGAATTTGGAGAGATTCAAGAATGTGTCCATTGAGAAATTGGTACAAGGAACCTAATAATCTTAAATCGATCCATATAAATGACAACAAAAAGCTGAATTGAAAATTAATTGAAAGGTATGTACTTGTTTTTTTTTTTTTGTGTTTTATTTTCTTTGCCATCCGATTTCCAATACTAGTAACAAGTAACTTTGATTTTTACTAAATTTGTGCATATCAAGTGTTTCATGGAATGCCTAAATGAACTTCATTTCTTATTGTTTTTTTTGCTTGCTATTTGGCAGCGGACTAAGATTCTCCTTGAACATTTCGTAGTCCAAATAAAAATTACATGAATTAATTATAAAAAGAATTTGTGGCAGTTGACTCTTTCGCTTAAAATATTCAATACAAGAAAACACTTGAATTTCATTTGAGGCAACACTTGATCTTCTATAATTAGTTATATTAAACAAACTTTCTTGGATAATGTAAATGACATCATTGTACCGAATAAAGTGTTTCCTAATATGTTTACATGTGTGTGTCTCTCAGCAGAATTAGTTGTAGGACTTTCAAATCCAAATATGAAGTGAATATAAAGTATTATTGCGTAAGATAAAATTTCAAACACATTTCATTGTAAGTTGACTCCATCTATTTGAAAAATTCTTTCACACAATTCCATTTTAATTTTAACCTTAGCGGAACCAAAATCCTCTATATTTGGGTGTTGCATGGTATTTTGACCATGAATGGTTGAAAAACTGAAAGTACGTTGCTATAAAATTATAAAAACTGAAAGTTCATTGTTATAAAATTCAAAAAATTTAAAAATAAGAATGGTATTCCGCCACTGCCGTAAGTTTTATATCAATCCACGTACATCAAAAAGAAAATAAAGTATAATACCGATAAAAAAATATATTTTAGATGAATACAAATGCTTTGAAAATTGCATAACATTTACCATGTGTTTTTATTCAAGGAAATATAAACAGACGTGAAAAACATCAAAGTTTGTTATCTAAAATGATTCGTTTCCATGTGTTTCATAAAAAAACCATGTACTCAAAATATTCGATTAACCCAACAATCACCCCTTAATCGGGTTGGTCATACCACTCGTTCAAAACATTGTCGGTTCCTCTTCGATTAGACCTGCTTCTTCCTTTTTTTTCCCATTTAGGACACTCGTTTTTATAGTGACCAAGCTCACCACATTTGTAACATATAACGTGAATTTTATCCCGGACACGTTCATTACCATCTCGACTTCTCCCGGACCCCCGACCTCTTCCCTGACCACGTCCAAAGTCATCCCGATTTGAACGTCCATTGCCACAATGCTTACAAACATGTGATTTTTCCTCACTAGCCAACCACAACCCACCTTGAGTGTCCTCCACCTTCTCGGTTCCTCTTATACGCTCCTCATATGCCTTCAATCTACCAACCGCTTCATCGAATAACATCGAATCCAACTTGAAACATTGCTCTATTGAAGCCACGATTTGAAGAAACGACTTAGGCATCGAATCAAGTAATGTTTCTTCAAATCTTAGAGATGGAATATCTTTACCTACAATCTACCACCCCTTAATCTACAGACATGGCCCCAAAATTGCGATTAGAAACCAATGCAAAAGATGGATTTAACATTAAGGTAATCTAATCACGATCTTATTAATTTACAGTATGTTTTATACCTTCCTAACCTTGATCAGACTTCCAAGCTTTACTTGTATCGGATATAGAGATGGAATAACCCCCGTTGTTGAATTCACAGATAATTCTTTCCCATGTAATCACGATCTTATTAATTTGCAGTATGTTTTCTGACATGTTCCTTTTGTTTGCTTCTGAATTTTATGATGATCGTATTCTTTCCTGAAGGTTTGCTATAACTGTGAGTGCAGTTTTACCTTACTCCACTGAAATTTGAATTTAGGGCTTACTGATTGGATTATGTTTTCAGAAACGGACTTTTATGTTAACTTGATGATTGAGATGAATTGAAACTACATAATTTTATGATTTGTAGACAAGTACCATCTGTTTTCTTCTGATATCAAAATTTAGGGCTTTGATGATTGGTATGAACTTACATAAATTACTTCATGATAGTTGTGGCAGATGTTTTTTCATTTTCCATCTCTTAAATCAAAGATTTCTAATTACATAAAAATTACTAATTGACAATGGATATGGGAAATGTTCATGCTTGATCTTACCATGTGATGTCAAGATGCAGAGAACATAACATTATTATCTAATCTTTGATTTAAGAATTCTTCCCACGTATGTTTTTATAACTTATGACTCTTGATAATTCATCATGAATTCACACAATTTATTAAAAAATATACCATGATTACCTTCTATCCTTATTTTTACTATGTTTTTGTGTTTTTTAATAATGGCAGAGACTAAAGATTCTTACTGTTGAAGACAAGCTAATGGTTTTATGATGCAAGTAAATTTTGGGTCTTCCTATTTCTCTTTTGCATTATGTTCTATAATTAATTTGATGAGTTAAAGTTAAACTATCTTATGGGCACAATCGTATTTTTCAGGGATTTAGAGAGAAGAATTGTGGAAACCGAGATGGAAATAACACTAGCCAAAAGTCAAGGTTTTCATAGTAACCAATTGAAGTCATCTTCTAACAAAAAATTTCTTGCTGTGATTGGCATTTACACTGGATTTGGTAACAAATTAAGAAGAAATGCTTTCATAGGATCATGGATGCCTGATGGCCAGTTCATGACAAAATAATATTTAAATTCTCCTTTCCAATGTTACTATATGTTTAACTTAATACCTATAAAAATACAATCTTTATATTATAAGAATGATAAATTAACTTACAAAGCCATTTGAATTTAACAGGTTATTCTTTAAGGAAGCTTGAAGAAAGAGGCATAGTCATACGTTTTATCATTGACAGAAGGTTTTCCAATTCACTCCTGTTTTTATATTAAGTTTCTTTTATATTCTGTTCTTATACTTTTTGACAATGTAAAGCTTAATATTTCATATTTATTATTAAGATTAATATCTTAACAATGAACTTTTTAAAATTTCAGTCCTAATCGTGGTTTTAGCTTGGATCGCAACATTGAGGAAGAAAATCGCACAACAAAAGATTTCTTCAAAACAGTTCTCCAAAGGTATAATCATCTGGCTTATTAAATATCATACCATTTGAGAATTTAATGTCTGCAGTCTACATTGATACTCTTTCTGCTGAAAAGTTAATTTGTTCATTTCAAATAATAGATGTGATTGTGTTTTTTTAAAGATCTAATTTGTTTTTTTTACACATATTACTGTTCTAATTTCTTCTTATTAAATAAAAACTACAATGTTGTTTCTTGCATTATATATATATATATATATATATATATATATATATATATAT